CGTCCAATCAGGGCCAGCTCCTGCCGGCTCCGCGGAGCGCTCCGGCGGCGGGAGAAAGGGTGAGTCGTCATTCATTCGTTCATCACTTCTTCCCCTGTGGGTTCATTCTTCTAGCAACCATCCCAGCACATGGGCCACGCTGGGCCGCATGCTGACGCCGAGACCTACCCTCGGGAAACGCTCAGGCGGTTAGAGGAGGAAGGAGCGGCCCTGCAGGACCGGACCTCCGAGACCCGCCCAAGACTCCCGTCTTTCCCTGGGGCAGCGGGCTTTTGAGCTGTAACCTGTCTCGAGCCCTGTCTCGGTCTCTAGAATTTCAATCAATAAAAGACTGTCCTCGACCTCCTGTAGTCATGTACGCAAGGAATTATAATAAAAAGGTGAAGTGGCCCTAGCCGGTTTGGTTCAGTGGGTAGAGCGTCGGCCCGCGGACTGAAGGGTCCTGGGTTCGATTCCGGTCCAAGGGCACATGCAGGGGTTTTGGGCTCGACCCCCAGTAGGGGTCGTGCAGGAGGCAGCCCTTCAATGAGTCTCTCTCATTGATGTTTATCTATCTCCCTCTGCCTTCCTTCTCTGAGATAAATTTAAATCGGTAAGTGAACGAAACCACGTGCTCTTACAGTCCCAAGGACAAGGTTATTTCGGATGTGAAGGCTCCAAGGAAGTCTGAAGAGAAGGGGCATTTAAAGACTTCAGGTGGTAGAGTTTGGGGTAAGCAGCTGGGAAGTGAGGACTCGCGCTAAAGAATATCACAGTGGCAACAGAGCAGAGTGGGAGCAGTGGGACCTGTGATGGGAAAGGATGGATGGGCAATGGCCTGGAAGTTTTGCAGGCCAAGGGATTTTGCAAAAGGAATGCTACCCTGTGCAGCCTGGAAGAAAGCCTTCCCCAGGTGACTCTCCCATCCCCACATCCCCTCCTCTTTCTCCCTGGATGTCATGGCACTGAAATCAACCAGGTCTCTTTATCCTTTTGCAAACAAATGTTGAGGTTTGTTCTTTATATATTGGCTTCTAAAAGATTTGGGACTTACACTCTGGACACACTTGAAAAAGTGTGTGGGGTATCTATTAATTCCCATAATAACCTTTTTTATAATGTCTTGCAAGGGATGAGAAATAAATGAGCATTAGGAGCATATTTGTTTGAATTTGATACAAATGTATCTAATGTAAAGATCAAAACTTAAATATAAACTGAACGCATTTATATGTGTGCAACTACTATTTTCTGGAAGGACATACAAAACACAAAGTGGTTACCCCTTAGGGAGGTGGTGAGGAAGTCTTTCCACTCTACCATTCTGTTCCAGTTCCAACTGTTCCCCCTGCCCCTCCTCACACATCCCAGTGAGAAAGTGGCCACGCTGGTCCTGAGTTTGTTTCAGGAACCACCGAGTTCAACGTTTGCAAGTGGTCCTGTCAGGTACAAATGAATGGTTCTTGGCTCTGATGGCTTACTGGGAGGCCTTAAAAACTAATACTGATATCTGGTCCAATCCCAAAGACTTACTTAATATGGGGTGCAGCCTGGACCGGGAGTCTACAGGACTCCCCAGGTGATTCTCATATGCCGCTGGGGGTGCGAACCACCAGTATATACCATCTTAATTACTCCTCAATGATGACTAATGACCTAATGGGCTGTGTGACAGCAAGAATCAAGCATCTGGACCATGTGCCGTCATCAGCAGCCTCTGCACGTCAGGAACGTGGGGCCCAGGTGATGGACATCTATAGGACACGCCACTCCAGCCTGTTCTGTCAACTCATAGCTTTCACTGATTTTGTCGCCTTAGCTGACTATAGTGGGTCTTTGTTGGCATTGTGGACTATCTTCTCATGCTGTTTTAAATTAGTATAAGCAACACTTCCCTCCTACACTAGCCTTTTACAAATGTAATTTAACAAAAAAGGTAGGTAACTCTACCTAACTGGGATATATGCCATGCGAGTCCATGTTGCTCTCGGTCAAACTCGTTAGCCTCTCTCTCTTCAATGAGGCAGCCAGGCAGCGTCCCCAACGCAGAGATGCAGATCTTTGTGAAGACCCTGACTGGTGAGGCCACTGTCCTTGAGGTCAAGCCCAGTGACATCACTGAGAATGTCAAAGCTAAAATCCATGACAAGGGCATCCCTCTGACCGGGAGCGTCTGATTCTTGTGGGCAAACAGCTGGAGGACGGCCAGACTCTCTGATTACAACATCCACAGAGCCCACCCTGCACTTGGTGCCTCGTCTGCGGTGCCGGCATCAGAGCCTCCCTCCACTAGCAGAAGTACAACTGCAACAAAATGATCAGCAAGTGTTCGGCCCGCCTGAACCCCCTGCTGTCAACCGCCTCAAGAAGTGCGGCCACACCAACCACCTGCACCCCAGAGGGCTGAGTAAGGCCCCTCCACCACCTCCTCAGCCCACAGGTGGCCTTCTGCCTGAATCCTGTGACCCTGAGGCCTCACTAAAGTCGCTCTTTTGTTGATTGATTGGAGCAGTTAAAAAAAAAAAATCTGTTAGCCATATTTTCAAAAGAACCCTATCTTAGCAGTATTTTCTTAAAAGGTGAAAAATATACCAATACTTCCCCATTAAAAGCCAAATAATATCCATAAAATATATTTTTTGCAAGAATATAGCTTACCAAAAGGAAGGAAAAAATAGCAAATTCCAGAAAGAATGGCTACATAAATATTCACAAACTTAGACTGCTGTCATTTAACGTTTCTCCAGACTGAATGGTTTAGACACAGAAAGCGTTTCTTCTCGGGTGTAACGATAAGCACTCATGCTCACACTCCCTCAACAGGGGCTCTGTCTCAGAGTCTAAGGAAACAGTCCGGGTCTTCTAAATAGAATTGTAGGAAAATGTGCTCAACTTTAGGGTCCTTAATGAACACAATTTTAGTTTTCAAAATATAATTTGAATACAGAATTCTTTAAAAGTAATATCTGAAGAGTTAGCCATCATATATATTTTTATTTTATTATAAGAACTTTTAAGTTTGGGGCAAATACAGTTGTGACAGAAAACCAGCTTCATACCAAAAATACACTTTCAATTACTTTATCAAGCAAATAAAACAATCTTCATTTATTTGCTTTTTCTAGAACTTAATGTACAGTAAAAATTTTATATTCTATGTGACAGATATGTAATTAAACATACATACAAAAAAAGAACATGTATTGAATGTTCAGAAAAAGTAAAAATAAATAGCAATGATAAAACTTTGGAAAAAATAATGCACATTTTAGTTGTGGGAAATTAATTATATATACACAGTTAAACTTAATAGAAAGTCATCTCTTTAAAATTGCACAAAACAAGGGACCAAGAAAAGCATTAATTTTAATGGCATGTGATACCATAATCATAGGGCAATTTGTTGCTTAACTCCAGGACATAAAACACTTAGGTTTGTAATACAATAAAAGGTATGCAGTATTGTTCGAGAAAGATTGTCTTCCCCAACTCACTTAACCTGTAGTGATCCTATAAAAAAGGCTGCACAGGAAATTTCATTAAAAGAAATATTAGCAATTATTGTGCCCACTCCATGCTAAGCAGCCAAAAATGGGCTTCAAAGTAAACATGGTCACACAGTTAATATACTTGATAATTTTTTATACTAAAGATTATTTCTTTGTTGTATAAAAACACTTTAACGATGATTGGCAATCTCAGCATGAAAATATCCCGGCAAAGTGGATGGAGACAGTTTCTGCTTACCTTATTTTCATGAAAAAAATATTTCAGGAGATAAGCATTTATAGAAAAGGAAAGTTAATGCTCAATTCACTTACAACTTATCAGGAGTATTAATCCATTTTTTACAAATGCCTATTTAAACTTCTCTGTAAGAAAATGAAAGGTAGCATTTCCATTTGCATTTATGTATGGCACAGCCCTCACTCAGTTCAGATAAAAATACACTTTGGGAAACCAGAAAAGATTGCACAAAGGTTAGGGGCAACCTGAAAACCTCTTGGTGAAAAACACTTATGTCCTTTAGGGCAATAAAAAAATATGTGCAGACTTAATTACAAATATTTACATTTTAAAACAGAAACATGAGTTAGCTATTCAGCTGCTCAATATCAATGATTCACAGGCATTTCAAACGGTGTGATAATGTGTCCACATGTTTGTGGCCACATTTGAATGCATAGGATAGAGTAAAGATTATGGTTCTTCAGTCTGTCACCTATTATATCTATAAAACAAAATTATTTACATTTTGAAAGCTGTACAACCAAAAGGACTGAGCAAATAGTTTTATTATATCGAATAATATAGACTTTAAGAACTACTGATTTCACTCATTTGTTCGACAACTTGTCCTAAAATCTCATCAACGACATCAACATCATAATTCACTTGCTGAAGATCGAGGTCAGGTACAATCATGGCCAGCAGTTGTCCCACATTAACTCGGAGAGATCGCAGTTTGAAGCTGCAAATACAAATATTACATTTATTTAAAGAAACAATTATTACATTTATTAGATGAACACTGCAATAAAATTTAACAGCTATGTAGGGCTTAATATTTTAGGGGAAATTAATCTGCTAATTTAATCACTCATAACGCAATGTAATAATTACGTATCTATTGGCGGTCAGTAGTGTTTCATAACACTAGTGGCTCTTTGGCTCCAACTTTTACAATTTTGACTTGAGACTGGAGAAAACATGGACTGGTAAAATATATAACTTATCACCTAGAAAACAGTGACATACAGTAAGAACGCTGGTTGGTCTAAGATAAGAGTGCATCTCTGACTTTCAGCTGCCTTTGAAGAAAGTAGACAGAACTGTTCCCTAACACATGTTCTATGAGATATCATCGCTGTGTAAGAGGACAAAGAAATGATTCTGTGGTCAAAGACGCTCATAAAACATTGGGTTAATTAATGTTAAACAAGACTTTTTAAAATGCAAGACTTCATGCTGAAGATCATGGACTACCCATTTTTTAAATGCATTTACAGGAAACCAATGTGTCTCTCTCACTTCGATGTCTCTCTCTTTCACTCTCCCTCCTCCCTTCCCTTCCACTCTCTCTACAAGCAATGGAAAAAAAATATCCCCAGGTGAGGCTTACAAAATAAATAAATAAAACATCATGAGGCACTGAAAGGTTAGTGTGCCAGAGGCATCTGGGATCCTGCTTCCGTGTGCAGTTTATCACACTGCGCTGCGGCCAACCACCTGCACTTCCACCAGCACCATGGATGCTGGTGGTCTGAGAAACACCAGTGGAGAGTTCTTCCCTGAACCCTTTCCCTCCATGCTTATGTGCAGCGCTCTATTGTTTCTATTTCCATGAACAGACTTAGTGAAGTTCTGCAAAAACTTAAGCCAGAAAACAAAGTAATAATATAATTGATGGTCAAGTGAGGGTAGTAGATTATTTCTCAACGGTACCTTTTAGCTCTGAAGTCCTATCATATTAGCCCTTAATGTCTTATTTATGAATGGTATACCATCACACAGCACCAACACTGTCCCCCCTCCCACCTAACTTCTCCACTCTCAAAAACATAACAAATCGAAACGGAAACCCAGTTCCATTTTATACCTGACTGAGATGGGGTGGGGGTAAGTATTCATTTGCTGTTTTCTGATTTTCACAGAACTTCTTCCTAATAATCACCTGTACTATGGCAATTTTTAATAACGGTGGCATTTCCTAAAAGTTAAGATGGGGGAAGGCACATAGTAGTAAAATGAGGATGGCAGACCATAAAGAAATGGTGCCAAATACAAAAGTAAAAGAAATCAAACATTCCAAACCACCCTGACCAATCAAGAGCTAGTCCTTCGGAACTCCTATTTCACTTAAGTTGAACCTAAACTGTTCATCTCTGAAGGAAAGGGTGATAACATGCACTCCTTTCCTCTCTCATCTATCACCATGCTGGGATCACAGCAGTCAATAGCTGCTTAGAGTAGCTGTTAGATGTGTGATAGCAAATTAGTATCTCGCTAACCAGAACTGCAGCGCAGCAAAGTGCCTCAACTGAAATTACCTTTCCCCATCAGCATAATTTACAGACTCCTCAATGTTACTTGAAGTTGAAACATCTGTTCCTCTTTGTTGACTTGCAGATTTTAATTGTTCAATTTCAGTTTTCAGTTCTTCACACTGTGAACGAATTTGTGATTTCTCTATTTGCAGTAATTCAACCTGACAAGAAAATTGAATTTACTATAAAATTTAGAAATACTGATATCAAAGCACAAATTTAAGCTAAGAAATGTAGAAAACCTGCTTGATGAAAATTACCACCAAAAAAATTAGACAAAACCCCCAATAGCTTTCAGTGTTTCGTTTCATTTTTCCACCTTTTTACATTGAAAGGGAACAAAATGTCCATTACAACTTACTAAAAACATACATGCTTCCTAAAAACTCAGAAACCAAGATTAAAATGCCTAGGTGACGTTGATGTCACAGAGGCTTCTGTTCAGGCACACTCCCCACTCTAAGTTATAGCACCAAGCTTAGACTGACTTTGATCGATGATGTCATCTAGCTCCTAAACCAGTAACACGAAGATGAAAGTCTGACTGAGCAGTTATGTCAGCAGTATCTCCAGGAGCGGGCAGTACTGTTGTTTCCAAACTTTATTTAGCAGAGAAAAACCCTCCTTTCAAACACCACGTAAATATGATACATAAAACAGATTTTCTTTAAAAAGGAGCTACCAAATTTGACCTGGGGGCAGTGCAGAGGCCACTACTTAGCTCCTGATACTAAAATCTCCTTTTCCCTCAGTAAAGAACCCCCAAACAGACTGCAGGTCCAAGGCATCCATTAGCCAGGTAACTTAAGTCCCAACAGATGGAATATACAACTTTCAGCAACAGCCTCCTCCTCTTTCTTTCTGCTTGGAATGTTAGCTACATGATGGCTGGGCCTGAAAAGCCAGCTCAGACCACAACTGCACGCTGTGAAGCAAAGGAACCCAGCAATGTCCTGTGCACTACAGGACATTACCAGACCGGTCACCACCGCTGAGCCCCAGCAGTGCCCATCTATCTCCAGACAGTTTAAGAACCCAAACTACCCCACACATTTCCATATGCCCCAGGCCTAATCCTCAGTGGAGAACCAGGACAGTGACATGCAATGAGTGGAAATTCGTACTAAGCGATGTGTTCCAATCCGGCAGCTGGCAGTGGTCTCAGGCCGAGATGGCCCTGGATTCCCATGACCACCAGGAAGCTGAGTGATAGAACTCACCTCACTTTTATACTGGTCCCTCTCGACAGTGCATTTGTCCAGCTGTCTAAACACATCATCCAGCTGCATGACCATTTCGTCCATCTCACTTTTACTCTCACTATTGGAACACTGACTGCATTCGTGCTTCACATGCTGCGAAGCACTGCACTGTTTCTTCAGCCTTTCTATTTCGTCCAGAGCTTGCCGGTACTGAGATGCCACGTGGTCTAGACTTTCAGATTTGCCATTAATGCTTTCAAGTAAATACACAGCATCGGTTTCGGTAGATTGATGGCAGGTTTCCTTCTTCACGTATTTGTCATTCATTTCCAGTATCCTCTGTTGTAACTGCCTGATTTGGTCAGTAAACATATGACATTGTCTTTTATAATCTTCTTTTTCTTGAGTAACTAGAAGCAGCTCATTTCTCAGTTCATTTACCCGGCACCCAGCATCACCCACAGCTTTATCAAAGGTCTCCTGCATTTCCTGTGGCTTCCCTTCAGCTTCCACACAGGATGGCAGTGCAGCTGTATCATTTCTTGTATTGATGTCATCTTCAATCGTTTCTTCCTTTTTAACCACCACACCTGGGACTTCAGTCTGGGTGGCCACAGCAGTTGCCTGATCACACCTGGATGGCAAGGTGCCTGTTGAACTAGTCTGGTCACAAGGTTCACTGTCACCCATAGGCTCGTCCTGAAGCATGTCACCCATACTTTGCTCGATGTGACTCTGTTCTGGTTTCATTTCAACATTCTGATGATCTATTGCAGGCTTGGGAGTACTGTTCTCTTCTAAGATGATGACATCTTCATCATCCTCTCTAGAAGCTGGATTTTCAAATGCTTGATTACTCAATCTCGGAGTCTTTGCATTCAAAATTGAGGAACGAATAGGAAGTCTCCGTTTCATGCTGGAAAAGATTTTACATGCAAATTAAGTTATGAAATATAGATATGAACAAAATAGATGGCTTTGAATTACTCTACCTTAAAATTTGATGAAACACTCATGCTTATTTTTTAAAGCAGTGATATATTATTCCACAGTACTACCCAATGAGTTAATGGAGTACAGAACACGTTCTCCCTCTACACCTGAGAAAACACTGCTGAGATGTCTTTAAAGTATCAGATCTGTATACTGCCGACATCTCTTCACTTGCTGTCCTCTGGGCATTTCAAGGTACACTGCTCTGCCCATCATGACCTGTATCAACATTCAGTGATCAAGTGAGCCACTAAGTAAACCAATATGCCCTCTCCTTTCATATAAAACAATATCCCTCATTAAAAATTGCCTCATTTTCTTCATTTCCTTAGCTTTCTCTGAATTTATCACCAATTGATTACTTTTTGTGCCACTTAAAGGGATATTTGTACTAGTTTCCTGTTTGGGCCTTCTGTGTCAGACCTCAGGTTTCCTTGATTTAAGAAAGATTTTCTGCCCCACCCAGGTGGCTCAGTTGGTTGGAACATCATCCCATGCACCAAAAGGTTCGATTCCTAGTCAGGGCACGTACCTAGGTGGCAGATACGATCCCGGTAGGGGTGCATACGGGAGGCAATGGCTCGATGTTTCTTTCTGACATCAATATTTCTATCTCTTCCCCCTCTCCCTCTCTCACAGAAATAAAAAATAAATAAAGTATCCTAAGAGGATTAAAAACAGAAAGAACTTCCTTTCTTGGCTTACTCTCTATCAAAGGGGTACAAACTCTAATAAAATCTTGAGAAAGCACACACAGGACATAAAAAATGTAAAATTTTGCATCATGATGATGTATTTACTTCTTGTGTTTACTGGCTTGGTAAACTCAGGTTGGAAATTACTTTCTCAAAACTTTAGAAGCAGCGCCGATTTCCATCTACCACTCAGTGTGTCTGCCTGTCTCACCCTGCCTTTTCACACTTTGTTCCTCCTAACAGCAGCTCTGTTCCCCCGTGTCTAAAACTCCATGACATGCCCTAGCCGGTCTGGCTCAGTGGATAGAGCATCGGCCTGCAGAATGAAGAGTCCCAGGTTCGATTTTGGCCAAGGGCACATGCCCGGGTTTATGGGTTCGATCCCCAGTAGGAGGCCTGCAGGAGGCAGCCGATCAATGATTCTCTCTCATCATTGATGTTTCTATTTCTCCCTCTCCCTTCCTCTCTGAACTCAATAAAGAAATATATTTAAAAACAAAAAACTCCATGATGCTACTTGGAATGGTGCTTTCCCAGACATTATGCTGTGTATGTAGTGGAATGAAGTCTTTCTTCCATTATTTCCTCCCCTTTGTTTTCAGATTCCCTACTCAGATGTTGACCTTCCCATCTTTTTCTACCTTCCAACTGCTCATCTTTCCATTCTAAGAGGCTTACTTGTCCAACATCTACCCACCTCCCAGTAATGTCATATGGTTTCTTCACTCCCTTCCTTTCAGTTTGTACATGGCGATCCTTGCCCATCTCTTTCTATTGCAGAGTGAGGGCTGGGCTTGTGATTCAAGAGCACTCAACACTCCGCATCCAGAGCTTTTATCCTGGGAACCCAGCGAGGGGAGGAAGGGAGAGGGACTTCTCACCACTCAGTATTCAAACTTGCGCTTACTCCTGTTTGCAAAACAGTGGCGCACTGACATCTTCAGCAGAAAACACTGCTCCAGAAGGTCACCTTCCCACCTCCTGACACAACGAGAGCAAACAAGCCTCCTGTTCTCGGCCTCGTTTGCACCTTCGGAAGAACCGGTGTTTCCAAGTTCTGAGTCTGTCCAGAGGTCTCCGGAGTTAACCAGTTGATAGGGCATTACCCCATTATTTTTCTTACCAGGCTTATTCCTAATGTCATTGTCAAGACGTACTTTGTCATTGCCACAGGCTTTGACTCTATGAATTTGAGGAATATAGGCTTTAAAATTAATGAAAATTTTCTCTCTATTCTTTGCTTCCATTTTAATGATAGTCACTTTTAAAAATAAATTCCATCATTTTTTCTCTGTAAACTACAGATTTTTCTTTTTCTTACTTTGTCTGGAACCATCTTTATGAAGAAAAACCAAGAATACAAAGGAGACTGGTTTTAAAAAATTCACACAAGTTTTTTTTTAAATTATATTTTATTGAATTTTTTTACAGAGAGGAAGGGAGAGGGATAGAGAGTTAGAAACATCAATGGGAGAGAAACATCCATCAGCTGCCTCCTGCACACCCCCTACTGGGGATGTGCCCGCAACCAAGGTACATGCCCTTGACCGGAATCGAACCCGGGACCCTTCAGTCCGCAGGCCGACCCTCCATCCACTGAGCCAAACCAGCCAGGGCTTCACACAAGTTTTTAGTTAAGTAGCAGTCCAGCCCCCAAAGAAGTCCCCTAAATGTGGGCTGTAAGGGCAAACCGTTTAGAGCATGTCCTCCATGTACATATGCAGAAAAGCAGCTATTTCTACTCTTTCCTGAGGTCACAAATCCCTTGGAGAATTTAATGAAGGTCACAAAACCTCTGGGAAAAATCTGGCTTCATTATCTCAGAGAACCTTGTGCCAATGCTTCTCTTTCAACAATAAACATCAGGTGTAGTCGGTCTGATCCACCAGTTCACTCACCTCACCTGATCTTTCCTCACCTGTTCATTCCATCCCCTCTGAATGGGCTCTGTGCACAGTCCTGCTTTCAGGAACCAACCGAAGTACAACCTCATCCCGAAGCCTTCCCGGGCCATTCCAGTCAAGAGCTGGAACTAACTGTTCAATCCACTATCACTCATCCCTTTCTTTCCCTTCCTCCTCCAACCACTCATCCAAAATATAGTGTCACAGGCTATGCTAAATATGTATAGGTCACACTTGACATTATAATATTACTAGAGGCCTGGTGCATGGATTCGTGCACAGGTGGGGTGGGGTCCGGCCGGCCCGCCCGGATCAGGGCTGATGGGGCCATTGCACCTGATGGGGTGGAGAGGGGATGATCGGGGGCGGGGCAGGACAGGGTAGGGGCTGCAGGCGGTTGGCTGGCCAGCCTTGCCCCCTGGTTGAACTCCAGGTAGAGGGGACAATTTGCATATTAGCCCTCTATTATACTGAATACTGTTAATTATTTTATTTTTTTCCTTTACTTAGATACTGATAATCCTAAAAGCAGAAACCACCCTGGCCAGTGTGGCTCATTTGGTTGGAGCATCACCCCTTACAACAAAAATTTGCAGGTTCAATTCCCAGTCAGGGCAAGTAAGGGAGGCAACCAATTGATGTTTCTCTCTCACATCAATGTTTCCAACCCCCCTTTCTCTCTCAAAAGAAAAAAAAAATCAATAAAAACATCCTCAGGTAAGGAGTAAAAAAAGAAAAAGCAGAAAATTTCATGCTATAGAAAATCTCAAAGAGGTGACAATTTGATCAAATTCCACAATAAATACAATTAATATTTTTAATTGATTTAAATAGGTCGCATTAAGTGGGATGGGGTAAGTACGCGTAGACACTATAAGCAGTCACTTACTTGTCCTGTAGACTTTTTACATGCACCTAAACTACAATTTCATAGACATGCCTACAAGTGCCCAGGAAAGGCTCTGTTTAACTGTCTCCCCCAATGGAAAGCACATTTTTGCCACTGACCTGTTGCTCTCAGGCTCGGACTGGGGTGAACCCCTGTTGTTTACAAGTCGTGCTGCGTAAGTATTCGCTGCTTCTGAAAGATGTCCTCTTGGAACAGTGTCCTTCACGGGAGAAATACTTTGCAAAGGGATTGTTGAAAACAACAGTTCAGTATTAATCTGTTGGAGGGGAAAAAAATTCTTAAAGGAATTTTTTTAATGTGCAAGGCCCAAAACAATACATTATTTTCCCTTTTCCCTTACTCAGAAGATGCTGAGAACTATCCCACCCTGTTAACTTCCCTGTGCTACACGAGGGAGCAAAATACAATAGGCCAATGAGCCCCATCCATCCTGCGAGTGAGCCAAAATTGGTTTTACGATTTTTAAGGTGTGAACAAAACAAATGAAAACTATGCAACAGAGACTATATGTAGTCCACAAAGCCCAAAACATTTACTATCAGGCCTTTTACAGAAAAGATTTCTTGGCCCTGTACTATATATAGAACTTACCGAGATATAATAACTTTTTTCTAAGAGAAATAAGTTAAAAATAGTCATAAAGATACTGCCTTTAAAAACAAGTAAGCCCACTATTCTTACCCCCCGCCCAGTTCTGTTCTCACCCCCAAATCCTAAGCTTTATACAAGAAAACATTTCAACATAATTATAAGCAAACACACACATCTGCAGCAGACCAAAACTTCCCACACAAGTAGGACCCCCTCGTCACATACTCAGAACAGGCTCCTCAGCACCAGTGAGCAATCAGAAAGAAAGAAAGGGGCAGGGAGAGTGGTCAGCAAAGAGGAAGAGAACCCCACAGCTTCGGTCCAGGTTAGCACTGGAACCTAGCTCCTGGGTGTTCCTGCGTACTTTTCCTTGACTGCCTAGCAACAGGGTTCTAAAAAGAATGTCTGCCTTTCCGCAGAAGATGCCCAACTAAATAATAAAACTGAACAGCTCAGCTCAGCCAGTGTGGCTCAGTGGTTGAGCATCAACCCAAGAGGTCGCCAATTCCTGGTCAAGGCACATGCCCGGGTTTCGGGATCAATCCCCAGTAGGAGGCATGCAGGATGCAGTCAAGTGATCGTTCCATCAATGTTTGTCTCTTACTGGTGATGTGTCAATCTCCCTTTCCCTTCCTCTTTTAAAAAAAAAAAAAATCTTTTTTGGGGGGGGAACAGTTTGAAGTTGTTGGGTTAAGAAGTCAGGGTTGGAAAGAGGGCAAGGAGGGGTACAAGAAAAGAGAAATATGTGAACTGAAAGAACAAGATCACTTCCATTTATATGCAACTCCTAAGCTTTAAAAATATCTGTGCCCTAGCTGGTTTTCCTCAGTGGTTAGAGAGTCAGCCCTCGGACTGAAGGGTCTCAGGTTCGATTCCCTGTCAAGAGCCTGCTTTAAGGTCTGTGAGGCAACCAATCGATGTTTCTATCCCACCTCCCCTCCACCCCCCGGGCAACTACTGTAAACAAAAAAAAAAATCAATGGGAAAAATATTCTCATGTGAGGATTAACAACAACAGAAAAAATTTTTGTTAAATTAATCCCTACCCAATATAAGACACAGCTATAAAATGGGAGGCTTCATTACCTGAGGGAGCCTTTCCAGTTGTCTGATCCTGTATTTGTCCTTGTCTCTTAAAAAAAAAAAAGATGAAAAACGTATTTAAATCTACTTCGCCATTATTGTTCAATTCTGTCTTGCAAAGAGACTTGCCACCTCACTCCCAAGTCCCTGGGATGTGCACACTAGAATCAGTGGTGCGTTAGGCAGGGAACACCTTCCACCCCTCAGGCCCCCGGGCCTCAGCTTGCCCTCCCCACTGTTTACGGGCCTCGGAATGGGAATACCACACAGGCCTCCACTGGTCTGTCTACCTCCGTCCTGCTGGATTTAAACAGTGCACCATAAATCAAAACTTCCAGAAAGTTCTTAGTGAACTCTGCCTTCTGTGTGCAGCACATTAGCCTAAGTTCACCAAGGCTGACCGACATCACTCGTTACCTAGCGTCCTAGCCCACCTCCATTTCCACATGCCCACTCACATATTTCCTCTAGTTAAGTCGACAAATCATTGTGCCCTGTACATTCTCATCCTACCTTCAAGGCCTCTTACAAAAATGTCCTTCAAGAATTTTCCTGATCCATGTTGCCCTCTCCATCCTGGGGCCAGAAGTGATCTTCCTTATGGCCTTCCCAACAGGACTAGATCATGCCTTGCATGGTACTTGTTATCTTCTAAGTGGTAATATTCACATCTCACCTTCCCTGTTAGACTATAAGCTCATAAAGGGTAGTATTCACTTACGATGCATCTATGTGTGGCCCCAAAAGACAAACTATTCTGTATGCTATCTTGTACATAGGGCAGCAATAAACAGGAATGATAAAAAGAGCGGGTATCCACAACATAAACTTTTTTTAAAAAGCACTTGCTGTTATGTACCCCACAACAAAATCATTCCTTGGGTCATAATCTTTTTGGCTGTACAATTATCCCCTGAACAAGGGTCTGAGCTGTGCAGGTACTCCTAAACACGGACTTTTTCTCAATAAACACAGTCAGATCTCGGTATCCCTGGGTGTCGCATCTGCAGATTCAATCAACCACGTGCACAGAGGACCACTTAAGTTGTAGGCAGATTTTTGACGCAGGAGTAATGGGGGGGGGGGGGGGGGGGGGGGGGTTGGTCGGTGCCCCTAACCCCCACTGCTGTTCAAATCAGCAAATACTGCAGACACATCACTGTTGAGGTTTTGGGCATTAATTGTTTTCCCACTGAAAATCAGTGCCACTCTCACCTCTTTTTGTAGGTTTTTTCATAAGTCGGATGCACCAAATCCTCATCTTCAGGTTCTTCTGGAACATCACAGTTTCTAGTCAGAAAAATCACAGTGAAGAACAGGTCAGCAGTGCCCAGTCATACACCTTGAACAGTATTTCCTCCTTTCCAAAACCGACACTCCCAACTATCTGGTACCTGAACTGTGGGTCAGGGTTATTGGAGCAATACCATTTTTCTGGGAGGTGATCTATCCCATCTGGTAACTTTCGCCACTTTAGACAGGAATCACATTGAACCCATGTCTGATCAGGACGTTTCCTATAATAAAAAAACAAAATATTAGCATGGAAACATGGATGCTAAATACACTTCCATTAGCTTATCTGTATCATTTCCATCATAAAATGCCTCTATTATTTAATTCTATCCCTGAAAAGTCATGACATCTATTATTGTGTACACCAAGTTAAACCAAAACAATTTTGATTACCTTTAAAAGGTTAAAAATGACAGGCCAATTTAAGCAAAATGACTTAAATGTATTATTTAATACCATACTATTAAACTTGCTCCATGATAATAAAACTCAAACTCAAAATATTTCAAATATCTTGTTCTGAAATTTATAGCTAGTACCTGCAATGTCAAATCTAGTATATTTATTAGCAAAATAAATCACCAGGTATAGAAAACAGACAAGTTGTATTACTACAGTTTAAGCAATTTTTTATAATTGTATTTCATTTTTATCCTCTATTATAGCACATCTTTGAACAACTTAAAATTTATATATTCTTTCAGTTTATAAAGTACTTCCTTACTTTTATCATTTAAAAATTACACTGATCCTGTAAAAAACTGATATAGACTCATTTAACATATGAAGACTTCACCTTAATGCCTGTAACTTTTTAAATGTAGTTTTAAAAAAATGCATTTACACAGTCATATGAGACTTCAAACAGTCCAGAAGTTTGCGAAGAAAATATAAACCAATTTCAGGGGGTGACATTATTGCATGTGTATAGAGACACAAACAAAATAAATGGGAAATTAATACACTGAGTTGTATCTTTGTTTTTTTATTATACATCTTGAACATCTTCCCATCGGTACACACAGTACACAGCAGTACTCACTCACAGCATTATTACTATGTGCTCAGTGTGTTTCTGAGCGTTTGTCAGGCATCTTATCTTTTAACTAGAGGCCTGGTGCACAAAAATTTGTGCACTTGGGGGGGGGGTCCCTCAGCCCGGCCTATGCCCTCTCGCAGTCTGGGACTCCTCGGGGGATGTCCACCTGCTGGCTTAGACCCGCTCCCTGGGGGGATTGGGCCTAAGCTGGCAGTCAGACATCCCTCTGGCAGCCCGGGATTGCTCGGGGGATGTCCACTTGCCAGTGGGGAACAGGCCTAAGCTGCAGTCAGACATCCTTAGCGCTGCTGAGGAGGCG